AGGCTTCCTGGGCTCGAGTGGGCGGGGCCAATGCCCTCCTCTCCTCTCCTGCTCCTCTGGTCCCGGAGGGCCCTTCCCGCCCGCCTCTCCTGATCTCCCCAGCCTCCCTCCTATGCCCCCAAGGACCCACACAGCCTGGAGGAGGCTTTGGAGGGCAGCGTATCGGCCTGGGAGCTCAGTAGGCTCCCCGTGCCCAAGTGGGCCAGGCGATCGCCCTCCACTCCTCCCGGAGGGTCCCTCCGGCCTGCTTCTCTGATCTCCCTGGCCTCAGGGGCTCCAATCCTGTCTGGCCTCCACTTCTCCTCCCCCTCAGTCCCCCCATGTCCTACCAGTTCCCTTGGGGGTTCCTCCCGTCTCCATACACATCTCCATACACATTGGGCGTCAGGCTCCCCCACCAGCAGCTGGCAGGTGCCCTAGTTGTGGGAAAACACTAACTCAGCGTCTTCCCACGCTGCCATCTTTGCCAATGACTGTCTTAATTGTCTTATGCTCCATAAGCCCTGCTGCTATGCAGGTGCACTTTTCATACACTTACAGTTACAACATTTAATTCAGTTTGTTTTTTCTTGGCATCTTAGAAACATTTCTTTCATTGCTATTTAGTTATAGTTAAATAATAATCTTTTCAGCTACGTGGATGTATAATCATTGAATAAGTCACATACTTTCAGACCCTCCAATACTCACAAAGGAAAGGCCCACCCCTGCGACCTGAATACGCTGTCACCCCAGGGGAGTGTAGGTGACAGCTGACATGCGAGCCTCACAGAAGCCCAGGGCAGGAGCTGCAGTCTACACCCAGCATCCTTCCCGCCCCGGGGATGGAGGGGATGGGAATGTGGTAGCCGCTCCCAAGAGCGCTAAGGACGCAGAAGCTTCCCCCTCAGCAAGGCTCCCAGCACATTTTGGGGAGTGGAGAGCCCTCAGTCCCCCTCAACGCACCCCTAAATCTCAGAACATTGGAGGTCAGAGTGTAGGGGCAACTGGCCACATAGAGCCCTTCATGCCAATCCCAGGTGTGTCCACCTTCAGAGACAGGAGCACAACTGCCCACAGTTCAGCAGAGGCGGTCCAGCGTTTCTGCCCACCCACTGCCCTAGGCCAACACCAAGGACTCCGGAACCCTCCTCCTGCCGCCTCACATGGAGGATAAAACCCAATAGCACCCTTTGGGCTCTTGCTTCTTTCTTTTCTTCCCCCACTTCCCCTCCCTTCCTATCCTGAACAATTGATCAGCTACAGATAGATAGATAAATGGACTGGTAGATAGATGGATGGATGAAGGAAGGAAGGAAGGAAGGAAGGAATGGAGAAAAGATAGATGCTGGATAGATCTTACACGGACAGATGACCGGATGGACGGACAGGTGAAAGACAGAGCTATTGATACAGATGAGGTGGTCAGTGTGGGCAGTGTCAGGAATGGTCAAGCTGAAGCTGTGTGCCCCTTGGTGAGATGTACAAGAGTACAGCGTCACTCTTCATATTCCTGCCTCAGAAGCATAACCTGACCCAGGAGGAAACTTCAGCAAGAGGAAATCAAGGAGCATCCTGAAAATGCACAGTCTTCAAAAGTGCTGAGTCATAGGCCAAGGATAGATTGGGCCCCTGCTCCAGGCTGACAGAGACCAGCAGGACAGGACAGCTAAGTCTGGAAGGGGTTGTTCTGATCCAAAGGATGTTAAATGGAATCATTGGTAAAACCTGCACTGGACCTGAAAATTAGATGGTAATTATGTATCAAATCAGTTTCCTGATTTAATGATTGAATTTGGTTAAAATAATACCTTTGTGTAGGAAATACACACTAAGATATTTGGGGCAATAAATATTGCACTGGGACGTGTTTGAGAAAAAGTAAATTGTGATCTCCCTGTCTCATACAATAAACAAAAAGCCATTCTACGTGGATTGTAGATCTAAATAAGAAAGGTAAAATAATAAAGTTTCTAGAAGTAGCTTTAAATAATATCTTCAAGAGCCTGAATTTCCTGAAGCAAAAATTTCTTTAAAATGGCACAAACAGGATCAGTGATAAATAAGACTCCATAAAAATGAAGAACCTCTGTTCTCCAAAAGACACCATTAAGAGAGTCATAGATGAGGGGAAGAGAGATAACCAATAAAGGGATCATATCCAGTCTCTCCCTCTCTCTAAATCTCTCTTTGGAACAAAATGTAAGGAGGAATCATAAATTTTTTTACTTAAAAAAAGCAGCACCAGCAATCTTCAATACACTCATTATATAGTTGAGAAAACTGAAGGCAAAGGAGGTTGGAACTTAGGCCGCTTAAGTCTCAGTCTCATGCTTTTTCTCAATATTAGATAAGACAAGTACAGACAACCAAGGAAAACACAAAAGAAACATAAAATAACCCGAAAAACTCAATGATACAAACACTCAAGAAAGTAGGAATCAAAAGGAACTTCCTCATTCTGATAAAAGGCATCTAAAGAAAAACCTGCAGCTAACATCATACTCAATAGTTAAAGGCTGAATGCTCCTCCCTCCACCCGAAGAACAGGAAAAAGGCAAGGATACCTGTTCTCACCACTTCTATTCAACATGTACTGGAAGTTCTAGGCAGAGCAATAAGGCAAGAAAAAGAATTTAGACGCATCCAAATACAAAAGTAAGAAGTGAAAATATCTATTTCCAGATGACGTGATCTTGAAAATTTTTTAAAATGCAAAGGAATCCACTAAAAATCCATTAGAACTACTAAAAAATTCAACAAGTTTGCTTAGATCAATATACAAAAATCAGTTACTTATTTCTATACACTAGAAATGAATATTCTGAAAATGAAATTGAAAAACATTTCCATTTACAATAATTTGAAAGAGAATAAAATGTTTAGAAATAAATTTAACAAAAGAAGTGCAAGACTTGTACACTGAAAACTACAGAACACTGTTAATTGAAGAAGGCCTAAACAAATGGAAAACATCCCACGTTTATAGTTCAGACATCTCAACCTTAAGGTAGCAATACCTCTCCAATCAATCGACAGATTCCTCTGCAATCTCCATCAAAATCCCAGCTGGCTTCTTTGCAGAAATTGACAAGGTGATCTTTAAATTCATGTGGAAATGCAAGGGAGACTGAATAGCCAAAACAGTCTTGAAAAAGAACAGAGTTGGATGACTCACATTTCCTGACTTTAAAACTTACCACAAAGCTACAGTAACCAAAACGATATGGAATTGGCATAAGGATAGACATATACACCAGTGAAATAGAATTGAGAATCCAGAAATTGTTTTTTCTGAATCAACTGATTTTCAACAAATGTCCTAAGACAATTTAATGGGGAAAGAATTGTCTTTGCAACCAATGGTTCTGGGAAAACTGAATACCCACACGTTTAAAAATGAAGTTGGACCCCTACCTCACATCATTACAAAAATTAACTAAAAACAGATCAAAGACTTAAACGTAAGCACTAAAACTATTTTTAAAATCTTAGAAAAAAACACAGAAGTAATCTTTGACCTTGGATTAGGCAATGGTTTCTTAGATATGACACCAAAAGTACAGGCAACAAAAGAAAACTAGATAAATTGGACTTAATCAAAATTAAAAACGTTTTGCTGCAAAGTACATTATCAAGAAAGTGAAAGGATACCCCACGGAGTGAACAAAATATTCGCAAATCATATACCTGATAATGGAATTGTATCTAGAATACATAAAGAATATTTACATCTCAATAATAAAAAGATGACCCAGTTTTAATAAATAGGCAAACGATCTGAACAGACATTTCTCTAAAGAAGGCACACAAATAGCCAATAAGTGCATGGAAAGATACCAGCATCACTTGCCATCAGGGAAATGGAAATCAAAATCACAATGGGACACCACTTCCTACATACTGGAATGGCTGAGACCAAAAAGACGAATGCTGGTGACGGTGTGGAGCATTCGGAGCGTTCATGCGGTGCTGGTGGGAACGTAAAACGGTGCAGCCACTTTGGGAAGCAGTCTGGCTGTTCCTCAAAAGATTAAACACAGAAGTTACCTATGAGCCAGCAATTCCACTCTTAGGTAAACACCCAAGAGAAATGAAAACATACTTCTACACAAAAACTTGTACATGAACAGCCATAGCAGTAGCACTATTCATAATAGTCAGAAAGTGGAAACAACCCGTTAAGGAATAAATGGATAAATAAAAACTGGTCCTGCCATACAACGGAACATTATTTAGCAATAAAAAGGAGTGAAGTACTGATACTTGCTACAACGTGGATGAACCTTGAAAATATGCTCAGTAAAGGAAGCCGGTCCTAAAAGGCCACCTGTTGTGTGATTCTATGTATATAAAACCTCCCAAACAGGTAGCTTAGTGTCAGGTGCAGCGGGGAAATGGAGGGTGACCGCTAAGGCGCACAGAGCTTCTTTGCGGGTTGGTAAAAATGTTATAAAATTGATTGTGGTGATAGCTGCACAACTTGGCGAATAAGCAATGCTAAGGGACCCTTGGCTTGTACGTGTTAAATAGGGGAATCAAATGGTATGCGAATTATATCTCAGTAAAGCTACTATTATTAAAAAAAAAAAAAGACAAGCTCAGGTTTCCAGGAAAAGTGGAGTTTTTTCAAAGTGCTAGTGAGTTCGTAAGGGTAACACAGTCCTTACAATGGGGAGCTATCCAATAATTTACCTTAAAAACATTGCTTCTAACCTGAACAAGACCTTTCTCCGTGTTTGGTCCACTTTCGCCCCTTCACCCGCGCCCACCCGGCTCCTCCTTCCCTCGGGTCCCCTCCAAGGGTCACCGCGCGCCTTCCGGGCGCCCCGGAGCGCGCGGCCCGGGTCCCCAATGGCGTGGGGCTCCGCCGACGGGGCGGGCCCGGGGGCGGCCGCTGTGACCCCGGGGCGTGTGCAGACACCGCCTCCTCTGCCACCGATAGGTCCCACCCCGCCTCGGCGACCCGCGGGCCGGGGGCGGGGAGAGGCGGCGCGGAGGCCGCGCGCACCGCCCGGCGCCGCTCGGAGGCAGGGGAGGCTCCGGGCAGCCGCGCAGGTCGAACGTGGGATGTGGGCGCCGGGCGGCCCGCCGGGGCCCGCAGGCTGGGACCGCCGCAGGGTGGGCGCCAGGCTGCGCGCGGCCCTCGCGGGGCTGCACGAGCTGCAGGGGCTCCGCGCCAGGCAACAGGCGCGCGTGTGGGGCGCCCTGGCCGTGCAGCCCCCGCCCGGGCCCGCCGCCCCCCGCGGCCCCCGCGCACACGAGCTGCGGCTGGAGGCTGCGCTGGCGGCGCTGCAGGAGCAGCTGGTAAGGAGCGCGTGCGGGGGTCGCGGGGCCGCTCCGGGCGCGCGGGGCCGCGGGGACCCGGTCCACCCGGCAGGCAACAGGCGGACGGGCCGCCCGACCGATCGGGGGGCACCCTCGGCGATTTCGAAGGACGCAGCTCGGTCCCGAATGAGAGGGACGCGGAGGCCCGAGGCGCGAGGCTAGGCATCCGGGCCCTGAAAGCAGCCCGGCCGGGCCGCCCGCGCCGAGCCGCGCATCGGGGCTGCGCCCGGCTCTGCCTACTTCCCGGCGCAGACCGACTTTAGGATGTATTCCTGTTGGTTGGAGTTTTGCTGATAAGAACGCATTGAATCGGTTTCCCCTGCTGGGGGCTACTTGGGATCCTGGTGTCCTGCGCCCCGTGCCAGCCTCTCCCTGCTGGCGTGGGTCTGGGGACAGCAGTGCCAGCGTGCCAAGTGTCCCCCGAATTGTCCCCAGTGATGTGCTCAGGTTGAGCCCTGGGGTCGTGTCACTGTAAAGAAATGTTGGGGAGAGCATGGATCCGATGAGGGCCTCTCCGACTTTAAAATGTAACCTGACCTATGAAAAGAGGTGTGTCCTCTGAACGCAGAGGCGGTGGAACCCCACTGGGCCTTCTGGGCCTGCTTTCCCACCGGCCTTCTCCCCCCTGGGCTCCTCCAAACGCGGGTCCCTTTTGTACCACTGAAGACACTCCTCAGGTGATTGCCTCGGTTATTTATCCAATGTATGGTTTCATCTCATGTATTGGAAAAAACTCAAGAGTTTTTGCAGGGTTGCAGTGTTTTTTAAAGGAAAAATTAGAAGGCTGTATAGAAAGATGTCTATTTGGTAGAGTTGACTGTAGTACTCTCAGGGGAATGTCTTTTAAATGAGAAATTAAATCTGCCCCGTTTAAAGGTTGCTGTCTTTACAAAGTAACCTGGATGAAGCTGCTGCTTTGCTATCAGCTTAGCGCAGTCGTGTCCATGATTTGTTAGCTGCTTCTGGATTAGAGAATCAGGAAGCTCAGCGTCTTAAGATGTGTCCCAGGACTCCTGCGATCTTCCCACATGGCAAGGGGGGGCCCTAACTGTGCAGCCTCTCCTCCTGTGATTCCGCGGCTGCTATGCAAAGGAAGGAGCTAGTTACCGAGTGGAACTTTCATAGGCTTCTCACCCCCCATCTTATCCAGTCATAGCTGCAGGTTTAGCTTACCTGTGTGTGTGTGGGTGTGTGTGTGCGTGCGTGCGTGCACCCAGACACATCCTACCTTCAACTGGAGCTCGGAGAGGCACACAGAGCCTGCAAAGATGCATGACATGCGTGTGGCAGGAAGGAGCTTTGCGATGCCGCTGTGAATTGTTCTGTCGGGGGAGCTAGAACCCAGTTGATGATTAACTTGGCTTAAGTAATATACAAATCAGACTTGCGAGTACTCAGCCTCTAATTATGGGTAGCCTTTTGGGAGAGAAGATCAAACAGGTTTTTTTTTGTTTTATTTATTTATTTTTTAATGTGGGGACCAGAAGGAACACGCACCCTTTGTCTTGAAACTTTGTTCTTGGCACAGATTATGTGATCAAAAGAGAAGAATAATTGAATGTGTGTGACACCAGCCCAGCGATTAACACGTTCACATTTTTCTTACAGAGAAAAAATTAGGAGTGATCCTAGTTCTATGATGCAGGGTACAATCAAAAGGCCTTCATCTCCAGCCCCAGGTTCACACTTCAGTAACTCCCGGCGGCTAATCGGGGCCCCTCCTACCCACACCCTGGGGTTAACCGGGGCATGGGTCACCATTCAGGTGTGGAGACAGGAAGAACTTTTATCTGACCCAGATAAAAGTTTTGTCCCACAGACATTCCCAAGTGAGAATGAGCTTGAGCATTTTGGGGGGGATTTAAACTGCAATTAGGAGAAGTCATCACGAACGAGCTACACCTTTTTAATTGCTGCGTCTACAGTCACAACAGGAAGCGCGCAGTAGGTACTTAGTATTTGTTGAATAAATAAATGAGCAAGTTTTACTGCTGTAACAAAGCGGGAGATGATTTCAGTATTTACTATCTCCACGTTCTATATTTCTAAGCTAATGTAACCCCCATGACCTCTGACCAAAGCAGCCCTTACTGTTTGGCCGGTCCTGTGCTCACCTGTCTGTGCCTTCCAGGGAGATTGTCATTCCCCGAGAAGAGGCTGCCATTCCCATTTTTATAAGCGTTACGTTCCCAGCAACACTGACTTGGAAAGATTTGGATGCCCCAGAGGAGCCTGGAAGCTCCATCTCCCACCAGGAGGCGCCAGCGGTCACCCCAGGTGGGATGTGAGGAAAGGCTCTGGGGACCTGCAGGGAAACTGGTGCTGGAGAATCTCCTGGTGGTTGTTTTGCTGGTCACGACTTGCCCTGACCCTGAGTGGCAGCACCTCCTCCTCCCTGGCAGGTGCCGGCATTAAGCACTGCAGGAAATGAGGGTCTGACTCTGCAGCTGTAATCACGACGTCTGGTGTTTTCCTTGGACCGACCATGCTTGCTCCGTGACCTCTCAGGGGAACGAACTCGCTCAGGGTCACAGAGGGGGGGGAGGCATCCACGGGGCTGGGCAAGGCTTCCTTCTGCGGCACTAGTGCTCGTTATGCCCCAGGCTAATCTGTGACCCTGGCCCTTTGAAGGACCTCTTTTCAAGCTAGGGAGTAACATTTACCCACCCACAGGGCACTTGCAGTGCCGTGGAACTCATGCGGAAAATGTTTCCTGTGCGTGTTCTCAGCTTTCAAGGAAAGAACAGAGGTGTTTTAGATGCCGTCTCTGTATCCTGAACTTTGGGACGTTTTTCATTTTTGTCCTCTCAATCTGCTGTAAAGGTTGAGAAGGCTGGAAAGCCGAATTGTAGATGGCGAGCAAAAGGGCAAAGCAGGTGGAAATCGCATCAGTCTTTTATGGCATGTAAAGTCCGCATCTCGAAGAAAGGGCTAAGCCAGATATTTGTTTTGAATGGCATTCCCTGGGTAGAAGTTCTCAAACTTTTGTGGTCATAAAAAATTGGTCCCAGGGAAGCTTGTCAAAATGCAGATTCCCAGGAGTGCCCTGGAGTCTGAGTTAACGGGTGTGGCAGGGAGCCCTGGGGTCTGCACGGATGCCCCGGGGCTCCCAGCTCCTGGGAACCGGGCTGTGCTCTCCCTTACACCGGACCCCCTGCCCCTCGCCCAGGTTCAGGGGATTCAGACGGGATGTGCTGCCCTGCCCCTGAGCCTGGAGGCCTGCGGTGAGTAGGGAGGGCTGGTGGCCACACAGACTGGCTCGCTGCTCTGGAGGGAACCCATGTGACGTCTCTGTAACACATTTTCCCTGCAGAAATACATGGAAGTCGATGCTGTGTGCCTGGCTCCGCAGTGGGTTATGCTCAGTCCTGGTGCCATAAGGAACCTTTGACTTAGCACAGAGTTAGAGACCGAGGAGTTAATGAAAAGCAGAGACATAAAAACCCCCAGCGAGGGACGGGGGAAGGGTTACGGAGGACAGTGCCAATCCTGGGTGACAAAGCCCTGTCGCCATGCAGCGGGGTCCTGGGGACGCAGCAATCATCGGAGGGCACCTGGGGGCCTGCGTGGCTGTGCCCCTCAACCCTAATCAGGAGCCACCAGCTGCAGGCCGGGCTGGGCAAACATTAATCACAGAGCAATTATTCCAGCACAGACGCGCCAGGGTCAGTTTTTCGGGGGGAGGGGGATTGGAGAGGGAGGAGAGAAGCCAACTATGGAATCCAGAGAGGCCCCCCTTCAGAAGAAAGAGGACATCGTGATTTGGAAGAGAAGGGGTCAAAATCCATGTTTTTAAACGTCGAAGTGTGGTCAAACAGAGGAACTGAACTCGGCCAGTACCGTGGTCTCATTTTAGGACATTAGAAGAAAAGTCATTTGCAGTAAAAATTCCCTTCGTTTGTCTAAGTGTTTTTTACTTGGGTAGTGATGGGCCGGGAGCCCACCTTTGCTGCCCCCGCCGCTCCGGCTGTCAGGTAGTGCCGTCCACCTGGGGAGCGTTTCCCTTTGTGAAAACATGCCAGGATGCTGAGGCTACTCTGGGTGGTCCTGGGTGTGTATGTTTTGATTAAATTCTGGTTTTTTGCAGTGTTATGTTTATAGATACTATTACCTGAGGCTGGGAGACTCTCTTGCTACAAGACTTGGAGGTTGTTCTGCGACCCTTGCACTGGGTCCAGAGGAAAGTGGATTTGGGTGTGGTGGTCTGCCACTCACCAGGTGCTGGGCCCTCGGCCCCTACCCCTGGTGGTATGGGAACAGTCTGCGCCAACGTAGTTCTCCCATAAGAATCAAATTACCGCCACCTGCTTCCCCCTTGGACTGACTTCTCAGATTATTGAAGCTACTGAAGTAATTCCTCATTTCCTATATAAGAATTTGAAACACAATTGATCATTTTCTCAAACAGGGTGACTGGCATAATCGCATTCATTAATTATTTGCCTTAAACTTAATTGCTAATCAAAACAAGAAATTTAGGTAGTGGACCTTGAAAACAAGGTGAAGTTTTATCACTGAAGGCGGGAAGTCAGCATTTATGAAACAGTGTTGTTTTACAGACATATGATTCACGTGTGTGTGTGTGTGTGTGTGTGAATGTATATTGTGAGCGTTAACCACATGCATGTGCTATATGTATATTACATGATATACACACACAGATATGTGTGGTTGACACTCACAGTAACCCGTTTTACAGCCAGGGAAGCTGAGGCCTGGAGAAGCTAGAGCCTCGGAGAACAGAGTTGAGATGTGGACCCTAAGACCAGAAAGACCCTGCCTCCCGGGGCAGGTGTTCAGGCTGCGCTGATCCCAGGCGCTGGGCTCTCTCCTCCTGCAGCATCCCTCCCTCTTCCCTGAAAGCCCTACAGAACCGTAACCGGTCAAAATGCCACCTGTGATATGGGAGCTAAGACGCTGCAGAGGCAGGGCCTTTTTCTCTCCTGGGGACTTTCCTGTCCCCCTGAAGAGCCGAAAGCTCAGCCCTCCCCAGGTGCCGTGGACGGGCTGCGGTGAAGGAATGTGGTGATACAGGCACCAAACGCAAGGTCCACGAGGCGTGAGCCTGGGAAAGTAGATTCTTACGTAGAAAAAGACATTGAAAATATTATCGGTGGCTCCTGCCAGAGGGGGTGTCCTTGGCTGTTTTTGGTCCTCATTCCACTCTCATAAGCTGTATTACTCCATATTCTTATAAAGAAATGTCTAATTGAAAATTGCTGGCAAAGAAAAGTCTGCACTTGGGAAGACATGCTAGAGGCGGGAGGGGTCCTAGAGACAGTGTTCGGCCTGAGGAAGGGGGAGCTGTCAGGTGGGAGCTGGCCTGTGGGTTTGCAGAGTTAAGTTGTATGTGTGATGTAGCTTCACGTGGAGCCTCCAGTTTCCATTTCTGTACACAGAGCAGTTTTATGTCTCCCTGTTTTCCTTCTGAGAACCGTTTAAGACTTCAGGACGTCGGCCTGAAAACCCACTTGGACCAACTGGACCAGCAGATCAGCGAGCTACAGCTGGACGTGCGCAGAACCTCCAGTGAGGTCCCGGACAGCGACAGCAGGCCCAGCTCGGGTATGGCGCCCACTCGGGCCCTGGACCATCTGTCCCTCACCCCAGGGTGCGGCACTGCCCGGCAGGGCTGACATGGTGAACCCGCCTCTGTGCTCAGGCCACCGGAGGGTCAGGAGCTGTATGCGAGCCTGAAAGAGCATGTTATTGGAGAATACTGAAGATGAAATACTTTTAGTTAAATGCGCTTGGGAAAACGGGGAGAGAGAGGGAGAGAGTGGGTGCGTACGTACTCGTTGTTTAATTGTTAAAATATTGCTTTTGATGGAAAAACCCCATGACCTTCTCACCTGTCGCTGGCTGAGACAGATTCTGTTTATGTTGAACCAGCATGGAGATTGTAAATAATAACTTTTATGTGACAGCAAAAGTATTTTTTGAAGTCTACAGTCTAAAATCAGTACAGTTTCCTCTCCTGCGGCCCTGTGCGCCCTCCTTTCAAGGTCACGTAGCGATGGTTAGGGTCGTTCTGACCTTCATGGTCCTGGGCACATGGGCTTTCTCTCCAGATTCCAGGCTCAGACAGCAGCTCAGACGGCAAACCCAGGAGACCAGCGTCTTCCCAAGTACAGTGCTCTCTGCCGTGTCTTTCTCTTTTTTTCAGTTTGCAAAATCCTGTCACAGTCTGGGTTGTCAATCATGTAGCAGGGCCGGGCCGGGGGACCTCCCCAAACGCTGCCCCTTCTCTGGTGGCTGCCTCAGATGAGCTTGGCGGGCACTAGGAGGGGCGGGGGAGGATGCCAGGCTCCCTCTTCCGGGGCTGGAAGCCGGAGGTCACACGGGGGGACGTGAGCCACTCGCCCAGGAGAGGGATGAGCAGGTGGTGGGCAACAGGAGACACTGGTGGGGAGGCGTCCTCGGCATTCTGGCCCCGGGCACCTCCCCGGCCCGGGCCCCTCCCTGCCCCCGGGCCCGCTTCCCTGAGACCCCCAGCCCCTCAGCACGGGCCCCCCAGACCACACCGACAGCCTCTGCGCCCCTGTGCAGGCTTCTACGAGCTGAGCGACGGCGGGTCCTGCTCCCTGTCCACCTCCTGCACGTCTGTGTGCAGCGACTGCGTGTCCTCCTCTCTGGGCGCCGTGCTGCCTGCCACCCCGAAGGCCAGGCCCGGCGCGGGGCACTGCCGGCCCCGCTCAGCAGATGAGGCCACGGTGTGTGGGGTCCCCCTGACTGCGTGGGAGCCCCAGGCCAGTGAGGGGGGCGCCAGCCAGCTGCTGCAAGGCGAGTCCCGGCCCCGCCCAGTGTCCACAGGTAAGGGGAGGCGGGAGCGGGGTCGGCGCCAAGCCCCATACAAGGAGGGGGATAGTCCCCGAGCCCCATACAAGGAGGGGGGCGGTCCCCGAGCCCCATACAAGGGGGGGCGGTCCCCGAGCCCCATACAAGGAAGGGGGCGGTTCCCGAGTCCCATATTTTCTGTGGGCTTTTTTTGGGTTTTGGATGGAGGTAGGCATCAAACGCCCACCTGTGTTCCTTGTAGCAGGGCTGTTGCAATAAAAGGCTTCTTGTCTTATTTAAAATGAACATCCGTTCACACCCTTCCACGGCCCTCGTGGCCACTGCCGGGGACTCGGGTGGGAGCAGCGCTGCAAGTGGGCGTTGAGAGAGTTACTTCACATGCGGTTCCCCCCACTGGCCAGGGAAGAGCCTTTCTTTTTCTTCAGAGTGTCCCAAAAGGAAAAGATGCATCGTATTCCTTACGCTAGACCTGGGCCGTTAGGATCCATGGGTTTTCTTTCTTGCACATCTGTGAGTGCCTCAGGGAAGGTCTGTTCCGAGACCTTGTCCCGATGGCCGTGTGGTCACCGGCGCCCCATCTCCCTCGGCGTCCTACGCACCTTCAGTGAACAAGGGCAGGAACTGAACGCTAGGGTCTAGGACTCGCCTTCCAGGCTGTGGCTGGAAGGAACGTGATGGGAGCCGGGTGCTGGGACGTGCACAGCAGACAGCAGCGTGTCCAGGTGTGGAACGTGCAAGGCCGGGGCCTCGTCCTGCCCGGGGGAGGGCCTCGTGCCCCAGGGTTGTGCTTGCTTCTTCCCTTATTTATGTTTTGTTCTTTTTCTCCTTCCCAGGTGACCTTGAAAGAGTCCTGCCGGCTGAAGTGGGGCTCCAGAAAGCCAGGGCACACCCCAAGGCCACTTCCTTCCTCTGCCGTGGCATGGACCCCAAGTACCAGTGTGACCTGGTGTCCAAGGGGGGCAGGGAGGTGTACCCGTACCCCAGCCCCCTGCACGCCGTGGCTTTGCAGAGCCCCCTCTTTACTCTGACCAAGGAGACAGCGCCGAGCGATGGCCACTCGCCCCCCAGTCAGCCCCTCCCTGGCGCCACAGGTCCGAGCTCCATTCGGACTGGACTGGTCCTCGAGGCTGGTCCAGCCAGCGCCTACATAGAGAGGCTGCTGCGACTGCAGGGCCGAGGGCCCCCTGCGAGGGGCAGTGTGGTTGAGCGTGGACCCCCAGGACGGGAGGCGTCCCTATCCCCGCAGGGGCTCGGGGTCCGGGGGGCGGACAGTGAAGGTGGCCTGGAGAAGCCGGTGTGCGCCCGGGGGAGAGCGGAGGTGGGAGGGGAGGCCCAGAGCGGGGCCGCCCGTGGGGACAGCCTCGAGCAGCCGGGGCCTGTGCCCCTTGTACGCACCCTGCACCCCAGCAGCCGTCCAGAGGAGGGCCCCAGACCCTCGCGCGGCTGCGTGCACCGGGAGGCCCGTCCAGGCTCCCCATGGCTGGGCTGTGGCCAGGCCCCTGCTCCCTGCTTGCGGGGTCAGCAGCCAGCTCTCCACGGCTGGACGGGCAGAGGCAGGTCGCCGGGCGGGGGGGCGGGGGGGGAGGGCCCCCCTCGGGCCCCTGGACACTGTGTCCGCCCGCACTTTGCTGCCACAGGAGCTCTCCCTGTGGGGCCCCCCAAGGCCAAGCCTGTGAAGATCAAGAGGGGGGCCAGCGACAAGGCGCTGAGGCTTGGGGGGCCGCAGCTTCAGTGGGGCGCCGTCGGGGGCCCCCGGCCGCCCCCTGAGTCGGGAGGTGGTCTCAGGAGGCCCACCCTGGCCAGGGCGGCGCCCGGCCGGTCCTGCTCTGAGTCCAGCCTCTACCCCGTGTCTGTCTTCGTCCCCCTGCTGGTGGCCCGACCAGAGGGTCACCAGGTGTCAGCTCAGGCCTTGTTCCCCTTGGAAGCAGCCCCACTGGTGGCAACCAGGGGGGAGGCCCGGAGGAAGCAGCGCAGGTGGCAGTCCTCCGTAGAGATCTCAGCCCGGGCCCGCCCGGACCCCAGCCTGGGGCCCCATAGGCCGGCGGCCCGGAGAGGGGGTGGCCCGCGGCCCGTGTGCGCCAGACCCAGGCCCAGGCTGCCCCGCCAGGATGCCCGAGCCAGGAGCGGGTCGGATGGCTCGGAGCGCTCGGCCGAGTGCGTGTCCCTCTTCCGCTCCACCGTCGCGGAGAGCAGCGGGGACGAGGCCAGCGACCACACGGCCAACCGATTCGGGGACGGGGAGTCCAGTGGCAGCACCTCGGAGGGCAGCGGCCAGGGCAGGGGAAGCTCCAGCCAGCGGGCCCCGGCCAGTTCCAGGCCCCCTCTGCCGCCGGTGCCCAGGCTGTGCCGCGTCAAGGCCTCCAAGGCCCTGAAGAAGAGGATCCGCAGGTTCCAGCCGGCCGCTCTGAAGGTCATGACCATGGTGTGAGGTCGCTGGGCGACAGCAGGGCCTGTCCGGGCCCGGGAGCCAGGGAGCCACAGACACAAAGGGACCTTTCGTGGCTGAGGACGGATCCAGCCTCGCACGGTGTTAGACGTGCAGGTCTGTGTCATCTGGACACTTTGCTTTCTCCCCGAAGCTGCCCTTCAAAAGGAGTCCCCTCAGAGGAGATGATGGGCCCGTCCCTGGTGCACCGCCCCACAGGTTAGGCTGTGACTCTGGGCACGTCACCCCACCTTGGCCCCAGTGGAGACCTTCACCCAGAACTCTGGGACTGCAGATTCGTCGGGGCGCTGGCCTCCCAGCTGCCTGTGCTGTGAGCCCCGTGCTTGCTTCCCTCCATCCTGTTCCACTTGGGCTGGGCGCTCGGTGTACCCCAGCCTGTTGAACAGTTTCCCCCCAAAAGCGTTTCCTTTAAGAAATGGTTGCAGGACTGTGCTGTGGAAACTGGGTTGGACTATGAATCCAGGTCAAACCCTCAACATGAATAAACAGCCGATTATGCCTTTGTCTTTGCAAGTCAGTCTTTCCCTTTTAGCCTCCCTGCCCTCAGGAATGTAGTAGGTGCTCAGCAAACCCTAATCCTTCCCCATCATGTGGACACTCTTTCACCCGAGGTGGGAAAATGCATTTCACGTGAGTACATTCCACACTCTTCCCAACACTCCTGAATTGAGCATAAAAATGCTGTGGAAAAGAAACCCTTTTATGGTGTTTATTTTTCAAAGGGAATTTCCCTCAACTTTTCAGGAAGGTAGGATTTTCAGGGAAGCTGCCTGCGGAGAGCAGCATGTTCAGTTCATGAAGTTTTATCCTGAATTATTCAAAGCTGGTTCTGAGGGCCTCGAGGTAGAAAGAAGGCATGGGGGGGGGGGGGGGGAACGTCTTCCCCAGTGACCACCACAGCCCCGTCCTGGGGCTAAATGCACAGTTGGTAGGAACTTTTGAAGGAAAATGGTAAGAAAACAAGCTAAAATGGTAGTAGATCTTGTAGTAGACATTAGATATTCATGTAACGAACAGCTAGTTTCAGGACGCACTTCAGAGACTCACATTTTAAAAAGATTAACATTTTAGAACAAAGAAGTCCACCTGTTTGACCTGGGCAGAGGTTTCCAAAAGTGAAGGAGAGTGGCTGCTTTCTGTCACTCTCTTTCTTTCTGTCTCAAAAGTGCAACCATTTCAAAGGGCCCAGAGCAGACTTTTGAGTCTATCTGGATAGAATTCCCACGTGGGCTTCACAGAATCCGCTTACTAACAGAGGTGAAAGGGCCTTCCTGAGCTTTCTATAAAACTGCCCAGATATTTGGAGGAAAACGTCAAACCCACCCATGGTGGAGGTTTTTGATAAAAGATAGTACACAGGGTATTTTCTTTAATGGTCCAAATCTCAACCGTGTGGCACAAGAGGCGATGGGAACCCAGTATTTGCCAGGGCCGCTGAGCAGGTGAGGGTCCTGGGAGAGGATCCAGAGCCAGGGTTCCGGCCCCGCCTCGGTCCCAGCAGTGTCCACAGTCTGTGTCCCTTGCCGGCCACCCCGGAGAAATGGCCTTGAAGCTCCCTTTACAGAGTGTGTCCTGCTCTGTTTGACATTATCTCTTGCGTCTGTTGGAGTTTTTCTCAATTCGGGGGCTTTGAATGCCGTATTTGGAAACTGCAGACTTCCTTCGTCCTCAGCAGGGCCCCCCTCCTTGTGTCACAGGAGAGGACCCTCAGGCTGTGTCTCTGGCCAAGATCATGTGAGATCAGTGCTGAAGGGGATGCAGTGGGTTCGGGCCCCTGGGGATTTCTGACAGTGTTTATCTTTCTCAGAAGCCAGGCTCCATTTCCTCATGATTCAGGTTCCAAAGCCCAACCAGACAGGAATGCGTCCCCGCCCAGAAGATGCCGGGCCTGTCTGTGCAACCAGCAGACTAACGGAGCAAACTAACCATAAAACCCATGCAGACTCCATGCAAAATGCAACCGTGGCATCTGCGGACAGAGAGCCCTCAGTGATAAGATGTCAAATCAGTCATCAGTCAGTGTGCCGCCCTCCCTCCCTCTCTCTCTCTCTCTCTGCCTCCTTCTCTTTGATCCTCTCTCTGTCTGTCTGTCTCTCTCCATCTGTCTTTGTCTCTCCCCAGCCTTGCAGACCCACACACACGCACGCACACACACACACACACAACACACACGCACACGCGCACACACACACACACACACCACGCACACACACACACACCTGTCTGCCCAAGGCCCGAAGCTACTTCCTCTCCGGTGCTCTTGCATTTACTCTCGGGCAGGTTTACAGTAAATAAATATGACTCTAGGTGCCATGTCTTCCCATCTGCCTGGGACACAGCAGAAGGACACAGCCCAGGGTTCAGGCCCCGCTGGGCCACAGTTAGCTATTATGAGGCCCCAGGCGTCTCCGTAACCTCCCTGGGTTTGCTTCCTCTTATAGAGTGAGGTTGTTTATGCCTCAGGGTTTGCCGGGAGGAGTACATGAAAGGTGTTGAAAACGGGCCCCGGTTCTGCCCGCTGACCACCACGTCGGGCTCCTGAGAGGAGCCCAGGGAGGGGACCCCGCAGGCCGCAGAGCGGAGGGACTAGACAGGCCAGGAGGTCACGGGCGCAGAGGAGGCTGTGGGCAGGGAAAGAGCACACAGAGGGTCAGTCAGCGAGGGTCTCTGACCCACCCCGAGCATCACCCTGGCTCCGCGAGGCAGGCGGCATCTTCCGTGGCAAGAACCACGGCGGGGGGGGGGGGGCTCTTTGGGGAAATACTTCAAAGCACAGAGTTAAAGTCGAGATCATCGGTGATAAGGAGGCAGAGCCAGTCCCCAACCCAGTCCTGAAATTACAAAACAGAGTCTGAGGGGCTATAAATTCAGGGAAGAAAAATATTTAAGGGAGGCAGAAGGTCCAGGGCAGAATGTGCAGAAGAAAAGCTTAACTGAGACACTCCATTCATCTGCCTGAGTATTTTATATTTTTCACATATGTTTCTTCTGAACAGATATGGTCGTAACTGCTCAGAGTGAAGGGAGAATAAAGCAGGAAGCTCCCCTGCGCAGAAGACAGCTGTGACATGGGGGAGGGGCGATTATTAGGTGATGGGTGACCCTTCATGTGCGTCTGAAGACAGATGAGCTATTTCCTCATCCCTAAAGCCTTTAAAAAAAAGAGACAATTGACTGTTTGACTTTGGGGATCATTAGAAAGCATTTGTAACTTCCAGCATGATTGAAATACAAATATTTTAGCAAAAAAGTAAATATATAAAAGGAGAAGCTAGTTCTTTCTAAGTATCAACGTCAAGCTAAGGTAGAAATTAAATATATAAGAATTGCTAATTCATAAGAATGAGAAAAAAAGGATAATTATGTCAGAGAAGATACCCCAATTATTGTATCAAATCATACTGTAAAATTTGAGGAAACAGAATCTTTATCTTTTATGACCGACTGAATGTACTTGTCCCCCAAATTCGTATGTTGAAGCCCTAGCCCCCAGTGGGATGGCATTTAGAGGCGGGGCCTTGGGGGACAGTTAGGGCAAGATGAGGGCAGGGCCCCCAGCGGGATTGGGAAGAGGTCATGTGGGCACACGTGGCTGTACTTACAGGCCAGAAATAACACCAACCCCACTGGCACCGCCATCTGTAAATTCCTGTGAACTAAACCACCCAGTCCATGGTGTTCTGTTACAGCTGCCCCCTTTGTGCGCACAGAAGAGAAAGTGGGAAGAGCTGAGAGAGCACTTAGGACCGGAGGAAAGAGAAACTTACTTCCTGCATCTTCTTCTTATGACCAGGAGGGTAGCTGGGCGACCAACCCGAGGCTGTCTTCATCCATCTGGTCAGACACATTCACTGAGCACCCACTGTCTCAGGAGCCGTGCCGCCTGCTGTGGGGTGACAGGAAAACACGGGGCGCCCGCGCTGGGGAAGCTTTGTGTCTCGCTGGAGAAAATAAGCAAACAGTAAGGGCGACCAAGCAGCCCCTGAAGAGGCCAGCGCCCATGCAGTGGGGCCCGAAGAAGCAGAGTTTGGACTCCATGTGGACAGCGCAGTTAGAGGTTTAACTGGGAGAAGGCTGGGCTGGGCTGGGCTGGGCTGGGCTGGGGGGCTGAGGAGGGAAGAGGAGGGGGACGGGGGAGCGGAGGGGAGGGGAACGCAGGGCTGAGCAGGTGCCTGGAGCTGGGGTGGGAGGGACGCTGAGTGGTCCCGGTGGGGTGGACCCAGTGGGTCCAGATCCCAGCCCATATGCGAGAGGGGGTGGGCCACCATCAGTAAGCAGTGTCACTAGCGCCCGCAGAGTTGGGGCAGGTGGGGGATGGGAGAGCTTCCGGGGGAAAGGGGGCGCAGGTGCGATGGAGGCCAGGGGGCAGGGGAAGCTGGCAGGGTTACCGCAAGTAACCTGATGAGGTGGGTGAGGGCGCACTTGGGGGTCCTCAGCTGGTCCTGAGCTGGAAGCAGGGACAGAAAGTGGGGCAGCTGTCGGTCGTAGGACAGGAGTGCCGATCGCTACAGCTGTTCCTGTGCAGCTTCCTCGTAGACGGCCTATGCAGACTGCAAGCCGGCTTCCTGTGGGTCTGACTCACGGGATGTTTATTGCAGACGAGGGGAGGGCTGGCTTCCTGGGCAGGTGGCTGAGGCTGAGGCTCCAGCCCCGTGTTCACAGGAGGTCTGGCCGTTGATCGGTGTGTGCTTGGTCTCTCGGAAGCCAGGAGAACCTAGACTTGTGTTTGGAGAGGCCTGTGACCCAGCTGTGCTGAGATGGGTCTGAGCAGAGACAGGAGGTCTGGCCCCGGCCAGGGACCCGGGCAGGGGCGTGGCGGGGACCGGCGCCACGGTGAGAGGTGCTGCGGAGGGATGCACACGTGGCAAGACACGCAGCTCGTGGCCATTCTGTGGTCAGGGAGCCCGCGGTCTCTTGCAGAAGCCACCGAGGCAACGGTGGCATAGAATCCAAGGACAGCTCAGGAGTTCTCCCAGTGTCGTTCATTTGCCCCAGTAAGGAATGAGAATTCTCGCTGAAACAAGAACATATTCGTATCTCTGAGAGGAACATCCCTGTAGAAACAAGAATTTCTAATCAGAATCTTTTTCCATCTTTAAAATTTGACTCTCTTTTTAGTTTGTTATTCCCTTTTATTTTTTATTCCGTTTTATTTCCCTTTTTATGTTTCCTTCAGCCATGGTCTCCTAACCAAGGATAAAATCCACAGCAAATCCACACTTAACAAATCATTAACCCTATTGTACTTGCACTTCATTTTCCTTAATTATTTTCCTCCATCTCCGTGCCCTCGTCCCATCTGGGGACACATGCTGGATTTTCAGATTTGGTCTCTGTGACACACTTCACCTCCTGGGTGACAGGCGACGGCTGGTGACAGTAGTGGTATCAGTCCCTGCTAACATGGCAGCATCCCCATCGCCAGTCTTGTCGCGGCTGCACATCCCGGGTTGGCATCCTTGCTGACAGAGAAGGAGGAGGAGAAAGCACACCTGGAGCCTGGAGGACCAGAGGCCAGTGCAGGGGGCTCACGTGGACCACAGCGCGTCCACACGCGTGCACAGCGGAAGCCCCTTCCGCTCCGGTCCCCCCAACCAAGGGAGCCCCTAGGCTGTCTGTGATGAATAAAGTCCCTTCTAATCCCTAGTGAGGCAAAGCAGTGCACAGCGAAGGGGCTTATTAAAGTACTAAGTACTCAGGCCGATCCCCAGAGCCTAAGCGAGGATTTCCACCCTGGCCTGAATAGGTCTGGTGCCCACCAAGGTCCGGGCACTCCTGCTGTGTAACTTTGCAAAACACTTCTGGTAGCAGCTCTCTGAGCCACGTCTGGAGGACAGCCGGTCCTCAGCGAACCAGCGTATTGTCCCCGTCATCTAATCAGCATCTGTATGATCCAGATGGTCCTGGAAGAGACCACAGCCTTCCCCATCCTTCACAACACCCGACGTTCCTGTTGCTTTTACACTGCTTTCCTGGGTCTCCGAGATCAAGTCTTGAAGTAGCTCAGCACTACAGGAACTTCCTTCAGGGAAGGTTTGTGTCTGATGCACAAACGAGTCACTGAAAAACCGTCAAAACACAGAGTCTTCCTCTGGGACATCTACAAGGATGGCATCAGAGCACGCAGACAGCGGAATGCCTCCCTGTGGCGACCACGTCCGTCCGTGTGCTGACAAATCCTGGACTCAGTTCACTAAGGCTGCAAAGCAAACACATCTGTGTTTGGGGTGATCAGCCTTCATGATTTGCTCAACGCTGTAAACCAACACTTGTTTTGTCCGACCCCGGCAGGGATCATGAGACTGGCGGAGGGATTTCACCTCACTCCAAGTTGCAAAATTCAGGTGATGATAATAATAGTCCCTGGAGTCGAATTTCATTTAAATTTCATTTCTATTTATTTATTTGCTGTCAAGTATCTTTTTATTTTGCCACAGTTCAAACTGTTGGAAACATCGGAATTGTTAGGATCTGGAGTTGAGCGGATCCACAGAGTTTGCTTGTATTTAAGCCTGTTAGGAGCTCTTGTATCTTCCCCCGAAAAAGATCATGCACAGCTAGGAAAGGCAACAAAAACACATTAAAGAAACTTCCTCGTGTGTACACCTCCGTCACACATCTTCAGGAGGCTGTAGAAATCCAAACCGACCACTTGAGTGGCTGGGGAAACTAGGACGATATTAGAAGCCCGTTTAATATGAAGATGGTCTTTTTACATATAATTAAGGAGAAAGAGTTTATCATAGAATGCGTAGGAGCCATTGGCTGAGAGGGTGTCAGCTGTTGGGTTAGGAGACATTAACTCAGATTTATGGCGTAGTTGGCCGTGGCTGAGGTGTGGCACCTGCTCTTTATTGTTAACAAGTGTCTACGATTAACGGTTAATGTTCACACATTGCTTCCCCAGGGTTTCCCTTTGGCTGTCAGGACAACTCTGTGAGGTCGACAAGGTGGGCTCTTACACCGACACCATCTTGAAAGCTGAAGGATCTAAAGCAAACGGGTGAGTGGAGAGCCAGGTCACCCCCGGCCGTCTTGTCCGAGGTCAGGCCCGTGGCTGCCCGCTAGACACCTGCCAGGCCCATCAGGCTCACCGGTAGCCTCCACCGGGCACCACACTGGACTCGGAGAGAATGGAAGGTTCTCGGGTCACATCCGGCGGCTAAGGCACAGGGCCCAGGCCTTCACGTGCTGCTCGGGGGCTCCCCACGCTGGCCAGGCCCGAACTGACCTGCCCACTCCTCTGACGGCGGGCGTTAGGTTGGACCACAGCGGTGCCCCGGGGAGTACCTTTCTGTGTTCTGTCCACGGGAGCAGAAGGGCTCCCCGCAGACAGGGCCACAGCTTTTGCAGGAGCTTCTGCAAGTGGTTGCAGGAGTCTCTGTGGCTTCTGTAACCTTTTTCCTCAAACTCGGTGGCTTCAAACAGCACAGATTGACGTCTTAAGGTCCTGGAGGTTTGGGTCCTGAATAGATCTCACGGGGCTCAACCCAGGGGTCAGCAGGGCTGGCTCCTTCCAGAGAGTCCAGGGCAGAGTCAGTCCCTTTCCAGCTTCCAGAGGGGCCCGCGTTCCCCAGCTCAAGGCCGCTCCAGCATCCACAAAGCCAACACCTTCAGGCTGAGTCCTCTCACACCACCGTCCCTGGTTTCCTCCCTCTCTGCCCCCTTGTCCACTTGTAAGGACACCTGTGACTACATAGGGCCCATCTCGAGGATCCAGAATCATCTCCCATCTCAGGTCTGCAGACCAGCGCACTTCATTCCCCCTTTGCCCTGAGAGGTGATGTATTTGCAGGCTCCGGGCACGAGGACGTGGACATCTTTGGGGCCGTTATTGTGCCGACAGCAGGGGTTAGATTTCACTCCCCCAGCAGAGCGTGTGACTCCCTATTTTCTCACTCCTTGCCAAGATTTTGTGTCACTGGACTCTGTGATATTCCCCATCTGATGGCTATGAAATGGTGCTTGGTTATGGTTTTAATTCTTGTTTCTCTGTTTACAAGTGAGCTTGAACATCTTTTTGTATTTTTATTGGCCTTTCACCTTCCTTTTGTGAATTACCTGTACATATCCTTTTGTCCCGTTTTCCTAATTTTTTTTCACTGATACGTAGGAGTCTTTATAATTTAGAGACTAATTCTTGGTCACCGATAAGACATAGGTGTTGCAAATATCACTTCCCAGCTGAGGATGGTCTTTAACTTTGCTCGTAGATTTTTTTTTGCAGAACACAAGGTTTTACGTCAGTGTAGACAAATGTGTGAATCTTTTCACTTATGGTTTGTGGATTTTTAAAAATCTTATTCATAGAATTCTTCTTTTGTATGATATTGCAAAGATCTTTTTATATTTATTAAAAGTTTAAAATTTTTGCCTTACCACATAGATCTCTAGTCCACTGGTGTGTGTGTGTGTGTGTGTGTGTGTGTGTGTGTGTGTGTGTAAAGTTCTCCTAGTTTTGCATGTCCATCTTCCATGACGACTTCACCCCATCATGGACAAACCCAGTCTTCTCCCCCCGTCCTCAGCTCTGCTCCCTGAGTACCCTCGCAGCACACATGGGAGTATCTTTCTGGAGGGGTATCTGTTCTGTTCCCTGTTCATCCTTCCAACCTCCCAGGACCACAGATAAATTCTACAGCTGTTAATAAGTGCTGATTTCTACTATTTGGCCAATATCCCAACTTTTCTTCTTCAAAGTTGTCTTGGTCATTTGGGCTCTTCATTCTTGCATGTGAATCACAGGGTTACCTTGTCAAGTTCTGTGAGAATCCTCTTTGGAATTTCAATGGAATTGCATTTAAGTGTGTAGATTAATTGGGGGGTACTGCCATCTTTATGACAGAGTCTTACTGTCACTTACCGTTTTTGTCTATTTTATGTATCTCAGTAAATTTTAAAATTTCCTCCTTAAGGTTTTGCCCATTTTTGTTACATTTATCACTACATACCTCTTTTAATATTATAAATGAAATTGGAATTTTAATTTATGTTTTATAATTATTGAATGCTATGTGTGCTTGTGTGTGTGTGTGTGTGTACGTGTATCTGTCTTTTATTCAGCAATCTTCTTGAACTCTCTTATTAGTTTTAAGAGTTTTCCTGTGGCTTCTCTGGGATTTGCCCTGGATTATATACAGACAAAACCAGCCGTGTTTGTTTGGGCCCAATAAATAACACTCTGCTTTCCTACCCAGGTTCTGAAGCGGCTAAACAATAAGTCAAAATCCAAGCAGCCAGAAGTAGTAGCATCAGCTCTACTTGAGAAAAAGCTATTAGAGAATATATAACATCCTCAGACAAGTGGGCTTCCCAATAACGAACCCCCAAGCAGCAGATGTGCCCCCTGGTTATCAGACCGCTGGCCCTTCCCTGGGATTAGGGCCTAACCACTTAGCTGATCACATGTCTTTGGAAGGTGAGGGGCCCACATTCCCTGGGACAGATGGCTTCCCAGGGGCCCGGGAAGGTGACAGCCAGGCCTCATGCAAAATAAAACTTCGGAGCCCTGTTCAATTCCACGGGCCCCTCCAACTTGTCAGGATGTTTATTTGCCATTTACCGTCATTCCATGTACGGAAAAATTAAAAAGTTATCTTACTAGCATGAATGTGGCCGCTCGTGTTTATATTGTACAACCGGTTTCTAAGGTAAACACAAGAATACTAACT